TGTGGCTAACATAGATAATGATAATGGATTAATATAAGTTACAAGGATTAATAAGAAGCCTGACCTAATGGGCCAATAATCAGTTTTATAACTTACAGAGATCTCTGTGTGATTGACTTTCTCTGGGACTTGCCGGTTGTGCGGTACTGGGTGGGAACAGAAACCCCAACAAGCCGACCCTCATGCTACATATAACAATATTGACCTTAAATTTGAATCAATAAAGCTAAATCCATACCCATGCAAATTATTTATATCATATATACATTATCCCCCTTTAAATGTAAAAGAACATTTATAAACAATATTTGGGAATATGGACATAGTTTCCTCTCTCCAAACAGCTTCATGCTGTATGAGGTGCTGTTAATCAAGTCATTTATGATATATCCTGTGTGCTAGAATTATCTAAGTCAGTAGTAGGGCAAAGAAATTTTTGAGGGTATTTACAGCAACCTTTCAGGAGGGAGTAGTCTATTATAACATATTGGCCTGGGGGCAATCTACAGGTTCTCATCTTCTGTGAAAACAAAAGAAGAACCTCTTTTCCAAAGCATTATACCCTTAGACCCAAATTTTGAAGATATCTTTACAATATACACGCTGATTTAACTTGGCAGCCCATTTAATGTCTCTCTCCATGTAGCTCCTTTACAGTCCAAAAATTTAAAAGAAACACAATGTACATAATCCAGACTCTCTGTGAATTTTCCATTTTTACATGGCTTGTTTTTTTATTACTATCTGTACTCTGTCTCTTTAAAGACTTTACCCTTTTTTAAGCATTAACTTTATTTTATGAGTCTCTATACTCTTTATCTTTTCTCTTTTAAGCCTACATACATTTATTTAACAGTGTGACCCATTTAGAGGTCTTTTATGTCTGAATCTGTCCTATTGTGAATCTGTAATTCTTTACTGTCCAGGAGCACTTCTTAAAATGCTGAGTGCTTCTTAAAAATTTTAGCTTGTGCCATTTAGGGAGTAATGCAGTACCACCTTTTTCCTGCCCAGTCTAAACCTTAACAGCATTGTTATTATGATAATTACAATAGTTCCTGCCTGAGATCAGCACAGTGCAACATGATGGAGCTGAGCCACTCCTGCCTCAGAGCCATTTGGTGCCCCTGAGCCGTGTACAGTTCCAAGCACACAGTGAGTCCACATTGCCATCAAGCAAACCATATCATTTTACTCACAGACCCCATCTAAATGCTCTGTCTCCTGGAAGAGACAGAAATCATGCTGGTGGGACAGCCCAGAAAGCTGGCATTTTAAAACCACCAGTTTTTTCTTGCTGCTGAGTTGGGAAAATTTCTTTGTGGCAAGTTGCCAGCAAAAGCAAAAAGCTGTGTTAAACTCTGGTTTTTTTTTTCTGTGTTTAAAATTAAGCTCTCTAGGGTTTTTAAGTGGATTTAATTGGCTCCATGTTGGGTGCCATTCTGTAGTAAGAAGGAACAGGCTGCATTCCACCGTCTGGCTATCTTAACACCCAAAATAACCACACAGAAATTGCATTAATTAAATTACTGCCTGACCCATTATATCTAGCCTCTTCTTGGTCAACTCCCACATGCTGATCTAACCCATTTCTTTTAATCTGTGTATCACCCTGAGGTCATGGCTTGCCTGGAAAGATTCAGCAACTCTGATCTGGCAACTTGATGGTGGCTCTCCCTCTCTGTCTTCCTTTTCTCAGCATTCAGTTCTGTCTTCCCACCTATCTAAATACTGCCCTATCAAAAGGCCAAGGCAGATTCTTTATTTAACCAATGAAAACAACTCAAATACAGAAGGACCTCCTACACCAGGCTGGAAATCACCAACTACATCAAAAATCCAAATATGCAGAATTTGCGAACTTCTAGAAACATGGTGGTGAGCATTATCCCAAACGTCTTTAAGAGTAGGATTAGGAAATCAAGAGTGGAATCAATTCTGCATCACACAACTTTAATGAAAGTAGAAAGGAAAAGAAGATGGACAAATAGGTATAAGGGAAAAAGCCTCTGAGACCATGGGAAAACTGTTGGCTGTGGTTTAAAACCAGCAAGAGGTCCCACTTTGAACAGAAGAGGTTAGTTACAAGAGTGAAATGCTACCGATGTGATCATCAACATAAAGACTGAAAAGTGAATCTGGGGACAACTGCATGCAACCTCTGTGAGAGAAGGCTCACTGAGTGGGGGCAATCAGGAGAAGAAAAAATGGGTGAGTGTCTTATAACCACGTTAGAAAGGGCCACACTTTACTTATATAACATGAATTAGATTATTGGTTTTCTAGGCTCCAACAGCCATTTGTGTTCACAATGCT